TTTCGGAAATAATGAACGTATTAAGCTAAAATTTTCAACATCTCTTTAGTCTTTGTTGTTTAATGTTCCTTATAAAGTTTGAAAGCACACGCTATATAGTATTAATTTAATAGCACCAGTCCACGAACTTTTTGATAACCCTCGTAAGGATAAATCCGTAATAATCTCAAAAATTTGACCAAGCCATAGGTTTTCATTAGCTGCTAACAAGGTTTTATTTTTCACAGTGCTGGTTTTCGTTAAAAAGGTTTTGAAGTCCCTATAGCATCATCTTATTTTGCCGGAGGAAACCTTGAATTAAAAACATGAGGCTATAAACAAATAATGAAAATAAAATAAATAACAATTTCAATTAATTCAAGTATTGGCATGTTCAAATTTAAAGAAAATTAGTTCTGAACATATTCTTCAACAAGGTGTCTCAATATAAATTCTTTAAATCAGAAGCTTTTTATATCACTCAGATGATCAATTACGATTTGTTTACGTCTGTAGTTGTGCGTCTTGCACCTCCATGATGTGTGTTTGTTGAAATCATTTGAACAACGACCACTTCTCGTAAACCAATCAACCAGTTAAATTGAGTATCAAGCATCCATGGGAAACCGATAGAATAAAATGGAAATCACTTGATTTCTTTTTCCCTGGAACTTGTGGGGTGGAATTTAAACCATAAAAATGTGCAATATTTGAAATCCTTAAATTGTTTTTTTATCCTTTACACCAGGAAGTCAAACTGTAACAATGACATGAAATTGATAAGCATTGGACATTCCACTTAAATTTTGATACACTACTAAACATTTTATATTTCATGTCCAAGGGGAGAGGTTCTGGTGTTAGGGGGCATTCTGTTGATCAGACTATGAACAATTCATTTCTTCTTTGAAAATCTCTTTTTTCTGCTAGTATAGTTACTAAGCAGACTATCTAAGAGCCTGGATATTATGGACAAGGGTGCATAGTCCTTAACTGGGAAATTGCAGTCCATGGGTTGGGTTGTTTTAAACCGTTCGTAAAAATGCATATATTCTTAGAAGTACCCCTTTTCCATGTATACTAGTATCTAGCTGAGAAATTAATTGCTTTGGTGAGCTAAACAGGGTTGTTTTTCTGCCTGGCATATATAATTTTAAAAATCTGGCACAACAAAAATAACTAACTGAACCCTTATTATTAAGATTTGCATTTTGAATTTTGAGGTTGAAAACTAATGACTATTTTAAAAAAAATAAGACCTGCGCAAGGAGTGTCCGGTGAGTCTGCTTTACTGTGGCGATATTACCTGAGTACACAGTACATCATATTATATAATGCGATTTAAAAATCTACTTCTAAACTATAAGATAAAAAGTTACTTGATACAGGGTCTGTAGAAGATTACAGGTAAAGGATGTGAGTCATATGATTTTACTACACAAGGGGAATTTATTTTACTGCGTAGTCTCATTATCACAACCTACGATTATTCTGAAAAATGCTGTCTTAATATAAACTATATTAGTGAAAAAAATGAATTTGTATGAGAAATTATACTACATTTCTGTATTTTAACACAGCATGCAACATGCATATATATATTTATATATAAATAACAGTAAACATTACGCAAATTATCCCATATTTCCAACTATCGTTGATGCCCTGGAATACCAACAGACTTTCTCGTGGTGGGTCGTAGTTCAGTGGTGCACCTAAATCAGGAACATCTCCGTTTGAGCTTGTGATTTTTCTTATATTGAGAGATCTGGTATCATCAGGATATGAATAATGTTCAATAATACAGTAGCTCATAGTACGTGATATAAAAGTGAAAAATTTCTTAAACATTTTGATATTATAAAAGTTTTGATTAAGGATATACGATCCTCAGCCAGGAAGGATAACTCTTTAATTTATAATTTAATTCAAAAAGTATTAAAATAAGGCTTGAAATTGAAATTTTTTCATGCAACAATTTTCATTTTATGCGTCTACGTATGATTCAATGCTCTTTAAAGTTTTAACAAACGTCATTTAAAAAGTTGACATTTGTACCTCATATAATGAAGTAAAACTTGCATATTTAAAAAAAAATCATTTTTATTTTAAATTAGCCTTAGTTACTTATGTTTATATGCATGATTTGAAATTAAAACTGATTTACAGTGTTTTCTTTGAAAGGAAACACTTCATACACTATGCTTTATGAAACAATGTAAGTAATTAAGAAGGAGAGAGTAAAGTCCAAATAAGTGTAAAATTCATGCAATTTTCTTTAAAAGCCTGGATACCTATGATTTTTATTCCTAAAATGTATTTCTTGATCAATTATTAATTAAAAAATATGCAGTATGTAGTTCAAATCGCATTTCCTGAAAAATTATTCGAGATTTACTAATTTTCCTTATATAATATGATTAAATTTAAAAATGAATTTTCAAGAAACAAATGTAGGTAAATGCATTTTAATTTGAGAATTTAGAGACATCTTTGTAAGCATTTTCAATTACTCAATGCCTGATTTTCAGAACCTGAGGATCGGATAACCTTAACTCTGAAATACACTCCATTGTTGAAAGGCAAAAAAAAAGAGTGAAATTACCAATTCAATTTAAACAAAATTTCACATCTGTTCAAAAAATTTTAAACAACTGTCAATAAAATTTAATAAAATGACAATTCAAAGGAATTAAAAATGTTGGGAAGGTTATGTTTGTAATAAACAGTTATATGATGTATGGATATATTCTAAAAGGCTAGCTGCATTAAAATAGCAAATGACCATTAAAAGAAAAGACGCTTCAATCTAAAAATCCTGCAGAGGATTTATTCTACAAATTTCTAAAGACTTGAAAGATTTGTGACGTATTTATCTCTATCAGTAAAATGAAAGATTTTTGTCTCTGCTTTCATGTGAAAAATTATCTTTCTTTCAAGGACGTAAAGATAACCTTGTTAGTAGATTAACTGTTCATAAAATATAACGTTTTATTATACCTCTGTTTATTTTTTCTATATAAAGATAAGACGAATAAACATGCTATTTTTTCTAAACAGTCTCTACCGTGAAATAGTTTTTGTGCTATTTGCCCATGGTGAATAGTCCTCAAACTATTCAACGGCAGCATTCGATTTCCCTCGCTTTTCATCTCTGAAAAACTTCTGATTTTACATGGATTGTGACGCGTATATATTATGACGTAACAAAAGTTAAGTCAGAACCAGTATAATATAGAATATCATAATTGTGTGTACCCTGGACTTCCAAAAGTTAACAAAAGTTAAGTCAGCATCGGTATAATAAAACACCTATTTACTGACTATTCGGACAATAGCAAGTCTATCGTCCCCCTCGACAGCAAACTATTTCCCTCGGCTGCGCCTCGGTAAATAGTTTGCTGTCTTGGGGGACGATAAACTTGCTATTGTCCTCATAGCCAGTAAATAGGTGTATAATAGGATTTGAGTGCATAGAGAGGTTTTAACCAGAAAGCACTATTATTTCAAAGTTTTACAAGGTATGATCATTCCAACTAGGTGGTTTTATATTATATTTACATTCAAAATTTTATTTTTTTGGAAATATATATTTCTTAAACATAAAAATCGTAAAAATACATATTTTGCTTATCCTGTAAATTAAAACCCTAAAATTTTAAATATGTAAAAAAAAAAATAATAAAAAGTAAAGGTAATAAGCTGTTGTTCTTTTAAATAGTAAGTTAAAAACTAATTATAATCATAGCCTTTGAAACCTCTGAAAGGTGGGATTAGGTGCCATGAAAGAAGGAGAAGGCTTTTCCTGCCGACCGGTTGCACATAACGTTTGTAACGTCTAGATCTGTACCGGTTATCACTAGGATCTTTAAATTTCTTGTAATTGAACTAAAAAAATCATGATTCAATATAAGTTATCCTCAAGGCTAGGCATTTCTTCCAACTAACCGTTTTTGTCTGAAATCTTCTCCTTTTGAAAGGCATTGTTTATCAGAGGTATATAAGCTACTTATGCTCGCTCATATACACAAATCCTTTTAAGTATAAAAGATTTCTATACTTGCAGCTAAAGTTCAAATTGTCCCATAATCCAATTTCCGTTTTCTAATGAGATGAACAATTTTTAAACAAGGAAAACTATTGACCAACAAGTTGATTGAAGAAGAATATCAGCAGTTTAGTTTAAAGTCATCATTTTGTAAGTTCTATGGTCGATACAATGACATTGTCAATTAATACAATTTATCATTGAGTAAAATGCTGACTGGCGGTTTTATATGAAATATATATTTGTTAGTCCATTATTTATACACTGAATTGACGATGGATTTTTCTGTTATTTCCCAATCATGATAAGGAGCACACGGCAGATGTGACCGGTCAGCAGGGATTTCTCACTTGTAAATGGTATTTTATACAACCACTGATGTTTTGGAAGTCCGTGTCTGCTCTGCTCCGACTTTGTATGGTTTCATGAAGTTTGAGATTTAATGACAAGGATATGGATACTGTTCGTTATCTACATATCTTTAATTTCATTCCACGCATAAGATTTTGCACAAATTCTGCTTTATATGAGTGCAAAGCTATATCTGGTAGTAACGGATCGCAATTGATATCCATAGGAATTCATATAGATAATTGAAAGACTTTTGTCTCGAAAAATCACATAGATATTGTAAATCAGAAACTCATCAAGCATCTTCTGGATGTCAACTTTAGAGTATTTGTGTGTGCAAACACAATGAAATTTTAACAAAATAATCATGATAATTTTGCAAATGACCAATGAGAAGTGATTTATTCCACGAGTTCCATATTTAATGGAAAGGGGGTTATCAATGATATAAAAAAAAGCCTGGACCTTAATTTATCGTGGGAAATGATTGTGTATAAAGTCGAAAAGTCGTACGTTTTGAAACTGTTGATTTTTGCATCACTTAATTACACAATCAAACATGTTTGGCTCTATTCTTTTTTTTTCTATTTTCACTCATGAACCCGATTGTCTCAGTATATTTTTATCCTTCAGTTTACAGGACCTGCTGACAACAGAAGGCTACAATGCCAAGAAACCGGAAGAAACCATCACATAGCAACCGAGAACCGAAGGGGTAATTTGATCTTGATTAAAGTTCCGCTTCAATAATATATATTTTCCTGTTTTATATATCAATATAAAATGTTTTATAATTTTACAAATTAAAGAGGAAAAAGCCAAGGTATGAACCCCCTTAACAGTGCCAAGGATGTGATGCAAATTTGTGACCTTTGTGAAACCAACGTGGTACAAATGCACTGTGACGCATGTCTTGTCAACCTGTGTAGGGCCTGTGTAGAAGAACACATGACCTCTGATGCAACCAAGACTCACAAACTCTCTGAAAGGGTCTCTGTTGTTAATAAAGTATCAGGTACCAAGCTTTCGTATTTTACTACTTTTTGGCAAAAAACAGTAAGTAAAATACTTTTCTCCTCGGAATAAGACGTAATAAGCAATCATAAAGTAAAACTTATCCTTGAAATTCAATTTTAAAAAAAGATACAGTTAACAATTTTACTGTAATCAATATTGTATTTTAGCTCACCTGAATTGAAAACTCTAGCAAGTTTTCCTGATCATATGTTGTCGGTAGTCTGTTCGTCTTTCTAGCTGTTCGTCTGTCTGTCTGAGTGAATAAAAAGTGCAATAATATAATTAAAGAACTGTTCCTGAAATTTTACATTTGTTTTATTTTTTTATTAGAGGTTGGGCTCATGCTTTAAATTTGTATAATTGTATTCATATGAAGCAGAATTTGTGCAAAATCTTAATGAAAAAATTAACACTTGCTGCGGCCTTCAACTCGACATTTGGATATATCGACGACGTATTGTCAATTAACAATGTTCATTTCCATTCTTATGTCGAAACGATATATCCTGGTAAGCTTGAGATAAAAGATACCACAGAATCTGATACATCTGTTTCATACTTGGATATTTTACTCGAAAAAGACGTTAATGGTACATGTAATATAACAACCAAGCTCTATGATAAACGTGATGGCTTTAACTTTTCTATCGTCAACTTCCCTTACTTATACAGCAATATATACCTTCATCACCTGCATACGATGCGTATATATCTCAGTTGATTCGATACAAAGAGCTTGCTCTTCGTACGAACAATTTCTAAGACGAGGTAAATTATTGACATACAAGTTGATGAAACAAAAGTATCAGCCGTCTCGTTTAAAGTCATCATTTCGTAAGTTCTATGGTCGATACAACAACCTTGTAAGCAAATACAGTCAACATTGAAACAAGCGATGACTGACGTTTTTCATACTAACTGTAAGCCCGTTATTTACAATGAATTGATGACGGATTTTTTCCGGTTATTTCCCAATCATTTCAAGGAGCACACTGCTAGTGTGACCCTTTGGCAGGGGATGCTCACTCCTCCATGATACCTAATCTAACCACTGATGTTATGGAGGTATGTGTTTGCTCCGCTCCTATTTTGTATTGTTTTATGGACTTTTGAGTTTGAATACTTTTCGTTATCTCCATGTTTTATACACATAAATAAACCCATTTTCTTTAAATTTTTATACATTGCAAAGCTTTCCTTTAATTTCTGGATTCTCAGAGAAAACTTTTTAAACGTTGGAAATGAAATTCTATTTGAAATTATATGGATGTTTAAAATGAGACAGCTGGTCTTATTCAAGTGACTGGTATAGGCAGGACCATTTTATGGGTAAGCATAGGAAGTCCATGAAAGAAAATATTCATTGACCAGAATAAAACAATTAGTATTTAACTGAAGGCATTAATTAAGCCTGAAAACATTGCAGATAATTTTGATGTTAATCTTGCCAATGTTTTTGAAAATGAAATATTTTAGTAATAAATAATAAATCTTGCCAATTAATTTGAAAAAAAATATGGATACCAATGAATAAATACAATTTTGTTTATTAAAGAGGCTAAGCAAACTTTGGACCCTCAAACCAGTGCCCAGGACGTGTTACGATGTGATAACTGCGAAACTAATGAGATACAGCTACAGTGTAAAACATGCCTTGTCTACCTATGCACAGCACATGTAGGAGAACACATTATTTTTGATAAAGCCAAGGACCATAACATCGTCATGCGTCAGTCAAGACAGTTCAACCCCTTCACAAGTAAGTTATGCCTTTTGAGGGGTTTCATGCAAATTAGTAAACGAACACAGGTAATAAATATAAAATTCTCACAGAAAATAGGTTATTACCAATAGTAATTAAAATCAATTTATATTTTGAAAAATAGATACCTTAGATGTCCTATGGTCCTCAAAGAAATAAAGCACACAGGCAAATTAGACACAAAGGCATATCACACAAAATTATACAAAATCATAGTATCATGAAAACTAAAATATTCCAAACGTGTTTTTTGCCTTTAGTTAAACTGTTAAGTTACGTTTGTTGTATTTTAAACACAAGATACATTAATGTGTGACAATATTTTTATTTAAATTCTGATGATATGGTTATTAGAATTTAAAACAAGTTTTACCTGTAACGTATTTTATCTTCATGGTTTGTCCATATACATTTGTTATGTGGTACTCTTTCAAAAGGAATTAAACATTTTATGCATTAAACTGATAAACTATAATAAGAAATAAATATACACTGTATATAGATTACTAACAGTATTCAAGCTAAAATGCTATTAAACAATGCAAAATAGGAGCAGAGCAAGCACGGGCCTCTAAACCATTTGACGTGGGATCAGGTGTTATTGAATAGTGAGTACCTCCTGATCTTTCACACCCGCTGTGTTCTCCTTGTCATGATCTGGAAATGACAAGAAAATCCGTCGACTATTCAATGTGTATATAATACATTGTAGCATTGTTTTGAAAAGCAATCTAACAATTTGTATGATAAATGATATTGGAGAAAAGTATATACTATTAGTTAAACTCATGCAGCAGTTTAAAAATAATAGACGTGCAATGCATCAACAAAAGTTGATTCTATGTGTTGTTTTGATATCCACTATCCGAAATGGATGTTGAAGTAAAAATTTTTAATCAGTATTTTATTAAAAATGCAATCTTATTCAATGCATCTATTTTGATTGACATGGTTAAAAATTGCCATTGAGTTATTTATAAATGAAAAATATGCGCGGTGCTTTTAAAGAAATACGGAATACACTTTACAAGATGGGAAAACAATATATCCCCAAATCCGTTAATTTGCTTTGCTTTTACTTTTTATAAGCATATGAAGCAGACTTTGTGCAAAATCTTATGCCTGAAAGGAAGAAAACACTTGCTGTGGCCTTAATCGACATTAAGATATATCGACGACGTATTGACAATTAACCATGGTCATTTTCATTCCTACGTGCTGCTGAGCTTGAAATAAATGATACCACACAGTCTGGCACATCTGTTTCCTACATGGATATTTTACTTGAAAAAGACGTTAATGGTAATCCATCAAATGAGCTCCATGATCATGATGATAAAAGTGATGCTATGGCACCTGGTCCCACCTCTGATATTTCTGGGTCCGTTTTTGCTCTGCTCTTATTTTGTATTGTTTTATGGACTTTGAGATTGAATACTGTTTCGTTATCTCCATATCCTTCTTTTAACCTCTCCACCGCCAGCTTCACGTATATACTTATGCAGCAATTTACCTTCATCGCCTACATACGGAGTGTATATATCTCAGTTGAATCGATACACAAGAGCATGCTCTAGGTATGAACAATTTCAAAAAGAGGTAAATTATTTACAAGCAAGTTGATGAAACAAGAATATCAACAGTCTCGTTTAAAATCATCATTTCGAAAATTCTATGGTCGATACAATAACCTTGTCAGCATATACAATTTATCATTGAGACAAATGCTGACTGACGTTTTTCATACATATTGTTTGTCCATTATTTTTACACTGAATTGATGACGGATTTGCACGTTATTTCCCGATCATGAGTATGAGCATGTGGCGGGTGCGACTGGTTAGCAGAGGATGTTCACTCCTCCATGGCACCTTATTTCACCTCTGATGTTTTGGGGGACAGTGTTTGCTCTATCTCCTATTTTGTATTGTTTTATGGACTTTGATATTGAATAATGTTCGTTATTTCCATACCCTTCCTATTCATGTATTCTTATAGAAACTGCTGACTACACAATTTATATGAATTCCCCAGGTATATTTCTTTTGTTCAGAGCAAGGGATGGATTTTCCTGTGATACTGACCTTTGAACCTAAAGAGGTTGCTGATGTTGTGGCTGTCCTTAAAACGATAGAGGATATCTATCCAGAGGAATCCGATGCTTCCTTAACTCATCAGTTACTGCAATCATTACACCTTGACGAATTTAGAAACAGGTTAAAATCCCTGGAGAGTAGAGTTATTTTAGTGGATCCCAGCAATCTCTGCGAAGATAGTCACGCTGGAGATGGTCGAGTGTGTATTTACAAAGTAGAAGTGAAACCTTCATACGGACAACTCACAGTGTATGAGGTAATGTTCGTTGAAATTAAAAAATAAAAACAAACAAAAGATAAACTTGTTGTATAAATTAAGATGTAAATTAGATTTCTTTTTTATTTCTTTTGAACTTAATTATCATATTCCTTTCAAACTCATTTCAATGATTTTTTTATTGCAGCCCACAGTTTCCTTGGATCAATTTAGAAGCATACATCATTTACCAAAATCATTTCTTGTGACCAGGGATTCTGAACCTGTGATAGACACCAAATTTGCTGTTGACGAAAAATACCACAACATGCTTGAAGAAAACAAAGTTAGAATCTTCCACGAATCAGATTCAAACAAGAAACTTCTTCTTCTCTGTACAAAGTATACGATAGATTCCTTCAAAGATCGTGTTGAAAAACTTATTAACAGTATACCAATGGACGAGCTTCACCAAATCGTAAACAGAGCTGCAGATATTGCGTTTTCAGAAAAAGAAATACAAAAAAGAATTCAAGAGATATACATTGTAAGTGAGGGACACTTTATTGGATCAGTTTATTCAGAGAGTTATTTCTGTCGCTCGCCATTCAAAATTGTACGGATTAGAGAAGAATTAATAGCTGAAACACTTAAAAGTGTTGGAAAGCAGTTTACAGATATGCTTTTGATTGGATTTTTGGGGAACATTGAAAAAATGCTTGAAGCAGAGTTTTCGCACATGGTTTGTACAATTAACATTAGAGATCATTCCCTAATGAACCCAAAAGGTATTTTAATATTTGCAGCTGGTCTTGTAAGTTTTGTTGCGCGAGTTTTGCATCCAGTGCTTGGAATTATAGTTTCCGTTTTTACGATTTTGCCAGCGGTGGTGACTTTTTTTCAGCCTGTGAATGTCAACGTACTCGGTGGAATGGCGGAACAAAGTAGCGAATAAAATATATATGAATATATCAGCAAAAAAATATGAGATAACTGCTGATGTATTCAGAAAATTAAAATCAATTTGTGATCAAACTGCGAAAGAACTGAGGGAAATTGGTGTAAAACTGGCAACAGCTAGTAGAAGGATTTCTTTGGTTGATTAAAAAATCGTAACTTATTGTATCCTAACATGTAAGCCAATACTTGACCAAAGACTATAAATCATTTATCTTTATACTCTGAAGCTCCTCTTTATGAAATAAATGATGATAACGAAAAGTTTTCAAACTCAAAATTCCAATAAACAATACAAAATAAAAGCAGAGCAGATACAGTCTTACAAAACATCAGAGGTGGGATCAGGTACTATAGAGGAGCGAGTATCATAGACGTCCGATCACACCTACCGTGTGTTCTTGACGATCATGTTCTGGAAATAAGGGGAAAATCCGTGGACAACTCAATGTGTGAATAATGGTTTATCAATTAGTATAAAAAATAAAAAAGCAATCGATTTTTTTTTTTTACTAAAGCTTTATCACATTTAATTTTTGGGTCGACTGCTAAGGGATTTCAGAATAACATGTGTCATATATATTTTATCTTTTTATATACTTTAAAGTTCAGATCCATGGAAAAATTTCATTCCATCAATTGTTTGTTATCTACACCTTTTCATCTCAAACATATTAGAAATTGTTTATACATGGAATATTAATAGCTCATTTTTGTTTATATATACCAAATCTAATATAATTGTATTCCTCTATAATTTCCTTAACGCATTGTATACATACAAGACAGCATAAACGGTATACTTATTTATATGATATGCATGTACAAATTAGAAATTTGAAGTGCTTTAATGAATTGTATGGAATATGATTGAATTTTGTTTTATTTTCAAAAGCTCCAAACATCTTTTAGAAAATTCAAACTCACCAATTTTCCCCCTAAATTCAACGAAATCAAAACGTGCGACATTCCTACAAGCTACTTATTTGCATAAATACGATGTGTAGCAATAATATTGTGTAGCATTCTTATTTAGAAAACTTATTACGCTATCTGTAAAAACAATAGCTAGTCAATCCTATCCACATACAACCCCGTCCTTTACCTGTTAACAACCTCCGAGGTATCCCTAATAAGAACCTGAAAAATTCTCTTCTCAAACAAACGAATGCCAGACGTCTTTCTATAGATAGTCTCCATTGGCTGCATACAGACACTCGAGGACATGGTAGTAAGAACCAGAATGGATAATCCGTAACTTAACTAAGGGTTTTAAACTTGTGTAGACAGAAGATGTCTTCTATGAGGCAGAACTCTGACAGCAACAGCTTTAACAGCCCTGTTACGGGCCACAGCTGCAGAAATCTAGGGAATTTGTCCTTCTAAATGTGGCAGAGTGGTTTTAATAAATAAATAAATAATAAAGAATATTTATTTACCTCAAAGTGTTTTACAGTTATCATTATCATCATTGCACTTTTCACTTTGCATGTTACTAATTCTGACTGGCTGACCTTGTCGACCTTTGACATTACGAGTTCGCAGCACTGTTAAGGCCTACTATGAGAAATCAACGGAAAAAAGACGTAGAAAAAGGGGGATTTTTAAAAAATTGAATTTATTTCAATTAAGCCGTTTTATTATCACAGAACTTAAATACTTATGGAAATAGCATTGTATAACCCACTCTGTACTGTATGAAGTTTAGTCCCATCGATGGACAGTCACGTGATGAATGCATAGTAGGTACACCGAATGTAGGTCAATAACAAAGAATGACTGCACTTAAGGACGTTATTTGGAACCTTTTCGGTTACCCATTTTAAGTTTAACATTACAATATATCGCTATATTAATCTATGATTTATGTGCAAGCATATGTTTTTGATATTTATTTCTAGAATTTTTCGTCATGCATATTTCTATAATTACATACAACGCTATTGAAAAGAACACGTTTAAGCCATAAATTCCGGAAAGTTGAACTGGACCGCTTTCGATTTTAAGGTGGCAGCAAAGGGGCGGAGACATTTAAATCGCATGGAAATGGATCATATGCACATGGTTTTCCGTATTTGATTTACATTATATATGAAAAAGGCGGAGAGGAGGGTTTTGTGTTCATTGTGTACAAAAAATAAATGATTTATAACCATGCATATAATTTCATTAATTTGTATCCACGTAAGTAAGTAGAGTAAGTAAAGAGCAGAACATTAAGAGAAAAACAAAAAGTTCATAAAAATAAACAAAATTGTGATAAATATATGTCTGCATTTTGTACGCTTAAGTTTGTAGTGTCTTTTTAAAGAATTATTGGTAGATGAAAATGACACTGAAATACATTTTTATTTTCTGAACATAATGGACTGTCTTAGCGTAAATGAAAAATAATTTGCAACCTGTCTATAGGATAATCTGAAATAAGTACACACAATAAATCCATAAATGACATGCCATTTGATTACTGGCAGAGATAATTTTCAAAAGAGTTTTGATCTTTATTCAGAGTACAAAGGGCAATGCATTAAAGAAAATGAATTTTGGCTTCTACATTATCAAGCACTGCATAATTTTCTCTATCTAACGTTCTTTTAAAATTGTAATACTTAAAATCTCACTGCTCATGTAGTATTTGCTGTCAAGCAGCGAATTAACTAAATCTTAAAATAATTATATGTGTTCGAACCTACAGTGTATTTAAAAAAAATGACATTTTCACTTTATCTTAATCATCTTGAATAATAATTGTGGACTAATTTAATTAGTAACGGAAAAATAAAATAAAAAGTTTAGTTTTTTTTTGGTGTGACTGTGGGCTCCTACCCTGACCTAAAACTGGTCGGGCCCCCGTTTTCAAAATTTCTGGATCCGCCACTGCTATATGTACAGCATGTAATCGGCAAAATAATACCCATTTTCTTTTAAATGCCCCGAACAAAAACACTATAGTGAAAGAAGTCAACGTAAACTTTAAAACGCCAATAAATTGTACGCAATGATCTTCAATGTTTTGAAAATGGAAGTACATGTAGATATAAAAAGAATTTTCCAACGACTGACACAATGAAAGCGTATCGAACACTTGAATGTCACGTGAGAAAAGTGATTATAATATCAAACGGGTCACATGGGCTGACACTCGGTGACTTACTAATTTAGAAGCTAACTCGAGCGAAGTTTGGGTACATTTTTTTTAAAATTAGATATGAGCCGCAACTTGACCAACATTGTCCTTTGGATATGTATAGGTTTAAAGTAAAATACACATTCTGTGCAAATAAGAAAAATGGTCAAGTTGCGGCTCGATGTAAACAAAGTCGTTGAAAACTGGTATGCATATGAATAACAATAGAAATGAGACAAAACTGTAAGACCCCCGTCTCAAAAGATAGTGTCGCTCGGCATTATTTAATACTTTCATGTAATATAATACACCAAAACCTGCTCTTAAGACATTGTTTAATACCTATTGAACATTAATTTAATGAATTTTGGAATTTTATTTTGCGCAAAACATCGGGTTCCAACTCTCATAGCTTAAGTGCAGTCATTCTTTCAATATCGCAAGGGCATACCCTGGTTGAAATTAAATATTCAAGCTATTAATTGTTTCTCCATACTTTGTAGTTTCTGAAAAGTGCTGCTGCTGTAAATAGAATTCGCTTTTTAATAGTTAAATTTTTAAGTTAATAGGCCAATGTCGAAATATGTTTGACTTTTACTAAATATTTTGTGTGCTTAAATAAAATCACGGCCTCGATTTAAAGAAAGCAGCAGCACTTTTCAAGTTAAGGAAAAGATTCTATATCTATATTCAAAAAATGGTTCAGATCTATGCAGTGTATGCCCTTGCGAAAGTACGATTTTATGAGGCATCTCGATGTAAAATATACGTAACCTGTACATATAAACACGACATAGTTTATAAAATACATTCTCTTGGTAGTTAATTAATAATCGCACTAAACAAAGGCTATACATTGGTATTAATCGACTATTTAAATCCTGTAAATAATATTCCGTTTAATAATAAAACGCATTTTTCATTGATAAAAAAATTCCTAAATCTGCCTCTCACAACACATGAAGTACGTCATTTTTACCAATATGACGTCATGTTTACAAAATCATCGCGATGAGTGCTTTGTTTTTAACCAGCTACATGGGATTTAATTTGCAACTTTTTTTAATGCATTGATAAGTAATATTGTTGTTTATTATGCTAATACAGTTAAGAGTTGCAAATTATTTCATTTTCAGGTATTATGAGAAATACATAAAAGTCCTATTTTTGTGTGACGTCACAGTAAACTTTCCCGTATAAATTAGGCCCCGCCTCCTTATTCAAGCCTTAACAATGCTGCGTTACGTAGTTTTATTGGCCAAGGGTTTTGGCGATAAGATTCTATTGTTCGATGTGATGTGCGGGGGCACTTCCTTCTCGCACGGACAGCCAACGATACCGGCTGTGAGACCATTCTGTCTCGGTGACAACAAGATATACATTTGGGTTTTACCATTACATTGAGTATTACTATACAGATCACATTCAGTAAGTCTTATCTATTTTTCTACTTTTATCTTTCTATCTTTACGTAATATAATTTCTTTGATTGAAAGAGAGAACGAGTGAAGTTTTGAAATAAAGTTCATTGTCTCTTGTAAAGTATTATTATCAATAATCATATTGATTATAAGCAATACTAGATATAGATATTGTAATTTGTACAGTTTTATTATTTTTATGATCAGCTATACATACTTGAGATTACGGCTGAACCTATGATTGTTGCATGTTTTTATATAGGTTCTGTATGGATGTAATATTCGAGCCAGCATTTTTGTTAGTGCTCAGCCTGATTCCATAAATTGGTACGCTATAGGAATTATTACTTGCTTTTACATTTTTAATATACTTTGATAAATTATCCAAACTTACGGAAATTTCTATCTAAACACGATTTTGGTAATTCTGTAATTTGTAAGAGTTATTTCCCTTTTTACATATTCATGAATTTGGAACATTTACAATCTGTTAAATCTATTTTTATTAAAATCCGTGTCGATGTACGAGGACTGCATTAAACTGAATATATTGTTTGATGTCATTTACTTATTGTATTTTATTTCTTATAAGGCCGATATTTTCAATTGTTTATATGTGGAACGAGATCCCGGCAATAAAGAATCCATGTAACCCTCATACTGTGTTTGTTCATCAATATGACACGGTCACAACTGGTCAGAAAACTGCATACATGTATATATCATCAGCTGCAAAGTTTGTTTCAAACTGTATATCAGGAAATTGGGAGATCTCTGCAAGAGAATGAATAATCACTGTTCGATAATTAGGACCAAATAACTCCATGAATTGGAGAACGTTCAAAACTTGAAGGTCAAATATGGGAGGACATGACAGTTTGTTTTGAACGTATTTTTGTATACAAAGGGATTTTAAGTACCTGCACCTGATTAACGTCATTTCATAAACATATATATGTTTTTGTACAGAACTTCTGATGTTTCTTTTTCATTGTCGTTAATAAATTTTGGTAAAGAAAGTAGCTTGGTATAACATTTTGTAGAACCTGTTATATTCCTTGAAATATATATTACATATATTCTTCTGATAACCAACACTTGTGTTGTCCTTATAGTGAAGAGAAAAAAACGGCATTAAGTTTGCAAACAAAAACAGTTTATATATATTGTGTTATATACAGAGTTTCCAAGCTTTGAATATAAAAAATATAAACCATGAAATATTTTTATGATAAAAAAAAAAGGAGCCAGGCATTCACCAACAAATTAGTGATCTTTCATAAGGAAAACATATGAGGTTATCAATTTTAGTAAATGTAAACAAGTTCAAAATGTTGTAACTTTTTTTTTCATTAAAAAGTTAAATCATCAAAATAAAGTGTTTCTTCCATATACTATCAAATAATCGCATACTTTAAGTTTTCCTCCAAAGAAAAATATACAAGTTAGAGTACTTTCTGTGTATACCATGTACATTTGATAATCTTTTGTATATATGAACAGCAGCTATTATAATAGCAAATTCCAAAGAAATTCTATTAAATATACAAACTACCTCCATGCATCACTGTACTGTATGTAAACTTCATTTACAAGAATATTATAATTACATCCTCTTTTGCAAAATCCATTAATATCCATAAAATCGAAATTGACAGTGCTAATTAGAAATTAACCCTCGTCTATAATTCGAATCATATTTGACTAAATGTGCCATAATTAAGGCTTCAGTTTTAAAAGAGCACAAAAGAAAACCTTAAAGAAATAGTTACCATTTGAACAGAAGTATAATACTAATAACATTGCACAAAATATATTTAGTAGTTTATGTATATTGCATAAATTATCACAAATTCTCACAACGCATATTCTGATCTCCTAGCTTACAGAATATAAATTTATAAACATTTTATTTAATTTAACAAATAATGAAAATACATGTATAATGAATTCTGTTAAATGAATGAAAATACCTACATTATAAAAATAAATTGTTAAGAAAATATAGTGGAGGAATAAATTATTGTATTAAGTACTATTTTTTTTTAACATTAAAATGCACATAAATTAGTTACAGATATTTTTAACTTGTGAAGTGGGAATATCCCATTCACATGATGTATATATAATTTGATGACCCTAGATCTTGCCCTAAATTAAATAAACATAAAATTAGTACGTTACACAATTTTGAGGGCTAAATTCATTAAAACTACAAAAATTAGATATATTCAAATCTGTCTTACTGGTCCATTGTTTTTATCAACTTCTTCATTGATCTCTTATATGTAGGTCTGACTGTACATGCCTAATTTAACAACAACACAATATGACTTCTTTACAAAAGTAAAAAAACAATATGTACAAACACACTAGGTCTGGAAACCAGAAGTCTCTGTCGAGACTGTAGCTCTACTGGTTTGTACTTATCAAAAACCATTGCACTATTTTATGTATCTTTGTGTATAGTCTACTTGTGTGCCAACCTATTTTGAAATCAAACTAGAACTGTAGAAGGAGTAGCGTTTTTAAGGAATTTCACAGAAAATTCTATTTTTAGTAACCATGGTAATACCGTTAATCGAAATCAGAAACAGATGCACTATTCTATGTATCTTAGTGTAGTCTACTTGTGTGCCAAGTTATATTGAAATCAGACCAGAACTGTAGAAGGAGTAGCGTTTTTAAAGAATTTCACAGAAAATTCTATTTTTAGTAACCATGGCAAAACCGTTCATCAAAATTAAAAACTGATGCACTATTCTATGTATCTTTGTGTAGTCTACTTGTGTGCCAAGTTATATTGAATTCAGACCAAAACTGTAGAAGGAGTAGTGTTTTTAAGGAATTTCACAGAAAATTCTATTTTTAGTAACCATGGCAACACCGTTCAACAAAATCAAAAACCGATGCACTATTCTATGTATCTTAGTGTAGTCTACTTGTGTGCCAAGTTATATTGAAATCAGACCAAAACTGTAGAAGGAGTAGCATTTTAAAGGAATTTCACAGAAAATTCTATTTTTAGTAACCATGGCAACAAAGTTCATCGAAATCAAAAACCGATGCACTATTCTATGTATCTTAGTGTAGTCTACTTGTGTGCCAAGTTATATTGAAATCAGACCAAAACTGTAGAAGGAGTAGTGTTTTTAAAGAATTTCACAGAAAATTCTATTTTTAGTAACCATGCCAACACCGTTCATCAAAATTAGAAACCGATGCACTATTCTATGTTTCTTTGTGTAGTCTACTTGTGTGCCAAGTTATATTGAAATCAGACCAAAACTGTAGAAGGAGTAGCGTTTTTAAGGAATTTCACAGAAAATTCTATTTTTAGTAACCATGGCAACACCATTCATCGAAATCAAAAACTGATGCACTATTCTATGTATCTTAGTGTAGTCTATTTGTGTGCCAAGTTATATTGAAATCAGACCAAAACTGTAGAAGGAGTAGCGTTTTTAAGGAATTTCACAGAAAATTCTATTTTTAGTAACCATGGCAACACCGTTCATCGAAATCAAAAACTGATGCACTATTCTATGTATCGTAGTGTAGTCTACTTGTGTGCCAAGTTATATTGAAAACAGACCAAAACTGTAGAAGGAGTAGTGTTTTTAAGGAATTTCACAGAAAATTCTATTTTTAGTAACCATGGCAACACCGTTCATCGAAATCAAAAACCGATGCACTATTCTATGTATCTTAATGTAGTCTACTTGTGTGCCAAGTAATATTGAAATCAGACTAAAAATGTAGGAGGAGTAGCGTTTTGAAAAATTGTTTACAGACAGAGGGACAGACAGACGGACAGCTAGACAGACAGACAGACAGACGGACGGACGCCGGACGCATTACTATCACATAAGCTCTTCTGGTCTCTGATCAGTAGAGCTAAAAACTGGTATTTATACTCTAAAAATCAATCTTTCGTTGTCAGTTTTATTTTACACAGTTGGGTAAAAATGTGTTAACAAATGCATAAAGATATTGCAAAATTGAAACTGAGAGATTCTTTTCATGATTACATTGATGTAAAGCTTATTCACTTGATAGATTTGGTGGTCAAATAAAGGTAACCCATTAAACAACACAGGATGGAATAAAAATTCAGATCTTAGTAAGCAAATACAATCAGATCTGTCAAACTAATATATTCAATGCAGATTACAATTCAATACAAAATAATAAGCAACATGGTCACAATTTTTTTTTCTATAGCTACCATTGTCATGTTCATGATCGGGTTATCAAATGGTTAGCATTAGAAAAGCACTGTCGTTGAAACAAATGAATAAAAACAAAACCAAAAATGTTGCACACAAAATATCATTGCAGTGAAAAAATATACTTCAAATCTTGGACCATGTGGCAGGCATTTTTTTCAAAAGTTAATAACAAAGAAAGATATACAAAAACTGTAATAGTAAATCCATGTAACAAAAAGAAATCTTTGCCAGTTTGCTTTTACGATAATTAACTCCCAATCATCAAGCAGTGGGATTCTTTCCCGCGAAGTTTTCCTTGTCCTCCGATTTTCCTTTGGTTCGCTGTCGTCGGTTACGAATGGCTCGGACAATACCAGACACAACCAGAGCAACCCAGATTAACCAACACAACCAGGCAGCCACCTGTATGTGATAAACTTAGTTAATGGATAATGGAGAAAACATTATTTATCAAATAAAATCAAATCAACAGCAAGCAAGTTAAAACGAACTTTGAAGTTATTATGAAAAGAAACATAATTTATACAATTTTACCTCTGCGACATGAAAGAGTTTAAAAAAACTCCCTGAGTCATATTCTTTTTCATCTTCGGGTCCACTGCACGCTGATCTCACATGCTTCTTTTCTGCTGTGGCACAACTAAAAATTGACAAGAAATAAGAAGAAAAATAATCATTCAGAATTAAAGCTGAGCCTCACTTTTCTAAACACTCATAATCTGAACAGTTTACTTTCCAGTCAAAAGTAGTGGAGAGCAGAGTTGACAGCTGAAGACCTTGCTTTTAGATGTCCTTGTACTACTACTAACGACGAGATGATACTCTATTTCTATGACTGGCAAGAGTTACCTGTCCTGTTTTGAGATTTCTCTGTACGACTGACACGTGTTGTCGAAGCCTACACTTATCATACAGGCCACAATCATCATCACCCCGGCGACGAGGGAGTTCAGCAGAATAAACGGCATCACCCACATCTGAGACCTGAAAAAAAAAACATCAAATCAGTCAGCCATGACTACAAAATGTGAAGCTTGTGTAAAGTTGACAATTTAGTGCATATATAACGGTCTAACAATAAGCATGAAAAAGATTGTTGAAATCCATGTAACATCAATTCATCTGCCAGCAACCTGCATGGTTTAAATACTGGTAAAGTGACTTCATTTTACAGGGTGTTTTTTGAAAAGAAATAACTTTACTCTAATTACTTTGACAGATTTAATGAATAAATCCAGTTATCCTATGGAAAAAGCGTACTATGTATATTATCATGGAATTCATCTTTTAATATCACGTCAAGGAAATAACATGTATATCAATTTGGAACTAAAACTGTAGAATACTTAACTCATTTTTAAACAACTCACCCAACAGTGGGGTCTTGAGTTGACTTGTATACAGCGTACACATTGTAACAGGTCTGTGCTAGGCCATAAAATATACACGCAAACACGGCGAAGTAGATAGGGAAGTTACAGTTTCCAGAGTCACCGTACGTCACACATTCTTCTTTCTCGTATGAGGCATACAGAAAACAGTATCCACCATTGTTCATCTGAAAAAAAGCAGATCAAAGCATATATCATTAAAAATTTACAATACAGAAATATATACAGTGAGCTGTGTGAAGCCGTATGAAGGGTTTCCCGTCAAATCAAATGTACAATATCACTACCGAAAATACTTTTTTGCTGTATGAATAAAGAACCGAATATGGTACACTTCTTAAGGTTAGAATTAATGAAATAAATGTTATAATCCATTGAAAAGTACATTTTTATGTTAAAAATACAATTCAATATAGCATACAGTGTATTAATATATCTGTATCAAAAATACAATGCAATATAGCATATCAATATTTGTAGTATATCAGAGACATGAATAGCATAAATACTTTAACTGGAGGAAAATATTCACATATTTGAACTATGGGAAAAATGTTAGCCTTAAATGGATATATAAACATAATGTCAATAAAATCTTAAAACTTGATTGTTTTCACGTTTTTGTTGGGCAAGTGAATTGTTTAGGCTTGCAAGTGAAATTTATTATATCACTTGCCCTGAGTTATAAAAAAAATTCTAGACACCTGATCAGGGGTGTAGAATTACACTTTCCTGTTGCATGGGGCAAGTAAAAATTCATACGGGAAAGTATGATCGTGGGTCATGCTCACCCGCTCGGGAAAGTAAAAATAAATGACAGTAGACACTTATGTTGTTGAACGTTGTTCTTTTCACGTGTTTTGAATAAAAATTGATTTGAATTTACTTAGCTAGTGAGTTGTGTGAAGCAGTATAACATGTATAAAGGGTTTCCCATCAAATTAAATGTACAATATCACTACCGGAAATACTTGTTTGCTGTATTTCATGAAAAACCAAATAAGGTACACTTTCCATTTCTCAGAATTGATACAAACATGATTTGAGAGCTATAACTCTTGAAATTTAAATGATTAAGGATAGAATTAACCAAATAAATGTTATTATCCACTGAAAAATAATTTTTACTTTATAAATACAATTCAATATAGCATACAGTGTATTAATATATCTTAACAGTGATTCATTTTGCCCTGCGTATTGCGTAATTTACGCATTAAATTCATTAAATACCCATTGGTTTTTGTCCAGTGCGTCCCGAATACGCATAAGTGATAACCCGCATAAAATAGAATTGAAGTTTCCAGTTTCTATTTTTATCGTTCATTCTATTTTTCGGAACTTAGCATACTTCATATTTCATTTGTCTTGTATAAATCATTTAAAAAATATTAATAATCAAAGCAAATTATAAGGACAGTAAAAAATCAGTGATGTAATTGTAAAACATTGCTTTGGAGTTGGTAGACAATTAATTGCCTGGAAGGGTGTTGGGAGATAATTATCAAGTGACCAGCACACGTGTTTAAAACATTGGCTTCCTTTCATTGGTACGTAGAGAGGGTGTTTAAGTTGCAGTAAATTTTCACTGGGTTATTTACAACCAAAAATATTTTTTTATTATTGTATTTCATTAAAAAAAAAAGACATTGCTTTGTCTGATTATTACAGAAGGAGTGAACGGTCTAAAAATAACATCGGTAATGGCGGCCTACACTGAGAGTCGGGGAGACAATAAACATGCAGCTCAAATTAATTTTAACTTGCTTTTTCATGTCTTTATAGTATCAAAAGGTTATGAAAATGACATTTTTAACAAGCATACTTTCCAACAATAAATTCCGAAGTTTATATTAAAATATGGCGATAAACAAAAGAAGTTACACATGTCTCTATAGGTAATATACTACGGCATGTACGTATGATAGCCATGTTTCACCTGAAAGAAAAACATATGAAAATCCCATTTTCATGTAAAGTATGCGCTCCTTTCTTACAGAAATTTTATTTTAGGAAAAAAAGTGCTTATTATATTCCGCCGAATACGGTAACTGAAGAAAAAAAACTTGGCTTGATATCACATTCATAGTTGTTAAAATTCTGACCCATTGATTTTGAGTTCTGACCCATTGCTTTCTGACAGAGGGGTACACTGTACCCATTCATTCAATTTTCAAAATGAATCACTGTATCTATATCAAATATACACTGCAATATAGCATATCAATATTTGTAATACATGACTGTATATCAGACACATAAATGACATATTTTAATTTGAGGAAAATATTCACATATTTGAACCATGGGAAAAATGTTTGCCTGTAAATGAATAAATAAACATTAAATGTCAATTAAATCTTAAAACTTGATTGTTTGGTTTTTGATGGGCAAGTGAATTTTTTAGGTGGGCAAGTGAAATTTATTGTATCCTGGGGGTGCGTCGATTTACCCAAAAGGACCCAAAAGGACCCCAAAAGGAACCCAAAAGGACCCAAAAGGAACCCAAAAGGACCCAAAAGGAACCCAAAAGGAAATCAATAGGACTCAAATAAATATATTAATATACATTGAAAATTAATAATTTGAATTAAATTATGAATATTATATTATAAATTTACCTAAAAGTTGGCCAAAACATACATTTATATTGTTGCAACTTTTCTCAAAGAAATAACATACGACTTTTATTACACATCAAAAAATATATCTGGTCAGATATGCTTTGATTTCTTTTAGCTGAAATTAACAAAGTACAATGTATTATTCTCTTTCTCCTTTGTTTTATCATATCTTACTATATGATATTTAATAAATAAAGAAATAAAGTTTTATTTAATGACATGTTCTAGGCATGTGGTATCGGGGATGGGTGTGGGGGGTGGGGGGTACCTCCCAACCCCACCCCAAACACAAACTTTACCCTAAAAAAGTAGTTTTAGTTTTAATAAAATATGAAAGTATTTATTATATATCCATTTATTCTCTTTATTCCAAGTCCCTTTGGGTCGTTCTTTATTTCCTTTTGGGTTCCTTTTGGGTCCTTTTGGGTTCCTTTTGGGTCCTTTTGGGTTCTTTTGGGTCCTTTTGGGTCCTTTTGGGTAAATCGACGCACCGTATCCTGGTGTATTGTATTTTCAACCTATTTAGATGTAATTTATTAATTTATTGCAAACTTTACGGAGGCTGAAAAACTGTGGGCTTAAAATGTTAGCATATGTGTCTATGAATAAAATTATATGACCCAAATTGCAGTTTTATGTTTATTTTATTTATATGCCATAATATGGGGAGGGTTCATTTTTACCTACAAAAATATTAGCGTCTTGTGTTTTCGACCTAAATATAGTATCAACGACCAAACAGTATTGGCTTTAAATATCCGTTGGATATTCCAAACAATAAAAATACGATTGTCTGTCTTTCAAAAAAACATTGAACAAGTTGCATATTTTGGTTGCAAATATATTTATTCGTTGGTTGAACCCATCTGTCAATAGCTATGCATTTCCAAAAAATTCAGTGAAATTACATGGCATTTTTCAGTAAAAATCTGTAAGAAAGTGCCCACATCTAAGGGAGAAAAAATTTTTTGATCCAAACATTCATTTCAATATTCATGCATCTCTTTGACAGAGATCTAATTTTCTTTCAGAAAAATGTCATCAAAAAATCTTTGTTATTAACCAATTACATCTTTGATTAATCAACAGATAAAATGTGCATTAGTAAAAATACTAAAAATCCTGACATCGGACTAAAACCATGTAGGGAATTCCGTTGAATTAATTATTTTGGGTATTTTCACTACAGTTGTGTGGTATTTTTCCAAGTGTAGCAAACGAAAATAATATTCTACTGTGCGGTATCTGCACGGGAAGCAGATTGGGAAAAATAGGTCGAAAATACAATACGGTCGAAAATAGGATACGAGACGATATCACTTGCCCTTGGGCAAGTAACTTATAAAAAAAATTCTAGACCCCAGCTGATGCACTGTAATTATTAATTTATTTTATTTTCAAAGACAAGTAAAAGTAGACAGAAATAAATTAAGATCTAAGTAAGTAGAAATAGTCATTGGACTGGACCTGACTGTAGCCTTTAGTGTACATCCTGGAATTCCCGGGTATATTCCCCCTAACCTGTCAACTTACTTCCTTGCCAAGTCTATCTTTTTCTGCCTATATACTGACTGGATATAAAGAATGTGAGAAGATTATGACTCTTACATTAACAACACCAATTGGTATTGACACCGCAAAGCCACCAACAAACACAGCAATGTAAAACAATGTGTTGACAACAAGCTGAACGTCTGCCACCGCCATCTTGAATTTCTGTTTGCTATGGCCAACTCGTACGTCAAGTCATTCGTTCGGAGATATAAACTTAAGCATTATTTTACATCACAAAATATTTTGCAAACTTTCTTTTTTCACAATTTTAATTACAAAAATCCCATAATAGACAGTACTACGGTAGCTCAAGAGGGAAATGATTTTCTTGTTCAAAATTTCTATATGTATAAATCTTAATTTTGAAGAATGAGTAACTTATTCAACAAGTTAATGAATTGTATGGAGAAAACGAACAGCATCCAAGCCCAAAAGTTCATTAAACAAAACAACATAGGAGCAGAACAAACACTGTCCTCCAAAATATCAGAGACGGGATCAGGTGCCATGAAGGAAGAACATATCTCATGCCGACTGCCCACTTCCGCCATTGCTCGTGATCGGGAAATAACCTAAAATATGTCAATAATTCAGTGTGTAAAATAATGGCCTAACAATCATAATGAACAAGAAAACATTGATGTAACCATCAATTGTCGCCCGGGAAATAAATAAAGTAAACAATGGAAATGAGTCTTGATCATGAAACCGCTTCTATATGTGTGAAAAAGGCATGCGTTTAAATGATGGAGCCGATAGTCGAGAATATTTTGAAAACTTATAGTCGGATGAAAATCGAACAAAAAATACCCTTGTAAACGTCATCAATTCCGCAAGTAAATGTTGGATGCAAAAAAAAATAGATTGAAACCAGACACATGAATCACCTATATTCAAAATGTATTTCACTTTTTAAAGGATATAAAACACGAACTGTGTAGAGTACGTTTTTATGCGATAAGTAAAATTCGATGTTCTAAAAAAAGGGGACCTGTCGTTTTTTCGATAGTAAATGATAGGCAACTTTATGTATTAAATATGAAAAATATATATATTTTTACAGATTCACTTTATGGAAGAAAATATATTATGTATCTCGAAATTTATAAAAGGAAAGAACATTCTGATTAACAATCTTTTTAATGTTTAGAAACCTTTAATTCTTATTAACTTCTCCCAACTCAATCCCCATACACCAACACTTAACTTGTATGTATAGAGCAGCCCGGTCCTCCGGGCGCAATAAAAGTCAGTCAGCTTTTGATTTAATTGTAACGTGCAACGCGGCCGAGCTTGGTGTGTGGTGATGTGGCTTGTATCACCAGGCGTTACACTTAGGTTCGTTAACCTGTTAACTCAGGTTTTTGTTGACCAAATAAAATTACAATCAAATATATACAAATACAATGGGTTTCTTCTTGATTGGACAACCACTATAACTGTGGTCGACGGGTGTCTCCCGCAATGAATTTCTCTGGTTCTGCCACTCTAAATGTACTGCTGCATCTTGGCACTTCCCCCACTTCTGTGGTATGCCACCTCTCTCTCCATCAGCCTACTGCCTTATACAGGTCTTACGTATTAACTAATATTGGTGATCCCTCACTGCCTATTCCCCGAAACTGTGTGCCTTATTCAGGTCTTATCACAAGTTCAAGAGAAGAGACAGTCAAGCCTCAACAAGCTTGTCACCAGAGAGGTATCCTGAGAGTCTGTAACACGGCATGTGTTACCTCAGTGCATGCAGTCCCAGTACATAGGCAGTTACAAACTACTTAAATGATTGTAAAATTAATATTTTTTAGTGTTTAAGAAATTAGACGAAAACATATTAAGTCTAACGTTTTATACGAAACTAAATCACAAAAACCAATGTCCGTTCCATAATCATTAAATTGCATTGTATCACAATAGAACGAAATCATCATGAATTTAACCGTGACTGCTGATATTCTTGCGTCATAAACTTGTTTGTCAATAATTTACCTCGTTTTAGATAAATGTATATACGTAGAGCATGCATGCTCATGTATCGAATTAACTGAGAGATATAAACCCCGTATGCAAGCGATGAAAGGTACATGTACATGTATGGTACGTGCTACATTAGTAATTGAGGGAATTTGCTGACGATTGAAAATTCATCTCGTTTATTAAAATGCTTGGCTGGTATATGACCAGTAACGTATTTTTCTTATTAAATATCCAAATATGAAACAGCTCTAGATGTGTCAGACTCTTGTGTATCTTTTATCCCAATCTCACCGGGATACATGTATAGTCCTATATACATATGGAAATGGAAATAATCATAAACCTAAAGCGCTTTAGGTCTATGAAATAATTAAACATCAATTTCTTATTGATAATACGTCGACGATATATATAAATGTCGAGTTGAAGGTCATAGCACGATATTTTTTCATTTATAAGGTTTTTGTACAAATTTTGCTTTATATGAATACAACGATAGATCTGCTTATAATGGGGCGCAGTTGATACCCATGGTGATTCCATTATATTGTTGAAAGACCTTGTCTCCAAAGACCACATAGATATTGTCAGTCAGAAACTCAAGCATCTTTTGATGTCAACTTGTCTTACAACTCAGTTTACCATTTCTTTTTTACTGTAAAGAGAAGTAAAGTGTGAGTCCTCACCGTACCTCTAGTTTATCTTTTATTTCTAGTTAGGTGTGCTCTAACAAAAGACTTAAAAATATTAGAGGTGGGATCAGAGGCCATGGAGGAGTGAGCATTCCCTACCGAACGGTCAGACCAGCCGTGTGCTCTTTGTCATGTTCGGGAAATAACGGGAAAATCCGTTGACAATTCAGTGCGTATATTATGGCCAAATAATAAGTATTAAAAGATTGTTGAAATCCCTGTAACATCCATTTATCTGCCAACAACCTGCCTTGGTTTAAATACTGGTAATATACTCAGAGCATGCTCTTGAGTATCGAATAAGTTAGTTGTCTCTAAGAGAGAAACTAAAATGACAATTGGAATTTAAAGAAAACATTCTGCTAAAACTTGTTCCCTCAAATCCTTGAATTTGGTGTCAGCATCGGCTGCCTCAAAATCACATTCCTTCCTGTCCTTTTGTTCAAGCCTCGAAAAGATTAATTGTATATAATTGTTTAACGTCCCTCTCGAGAATTTTTCACTCATATGGAGACGCCATCACTTGCCGGTGGAGAGCTGCAAATTTTGTCCTATACTCGGCACTCAAGGCCATTGAGCAGGGAGGGATCTTTATCATGCCAGCACCTACTGTGACACTGGACCTCGGTTAATACGGTCTTACCCGAAAGACCGTACTCCACGTCCCACATTGGGATTCGAACCCGTGACGTAAGGATCAACTCCTTACTTCGCGATCCTAGAGCAGACGCTGTTACGATTTGCTGTGAATTTAGGAAGGTCTATAAAAAACCTTCTCTTTCCATCCTGCACCAGTGACCTCCTGTAGGAAATGTCCCACCTGGAATATAGGGGGAATAGAGGCGCATTTGGAGAAGAAATTCCGGGCGTCAGTTTGTCTCTCACCATATCAATCTCTCACCAGAGGGCGCGCTCCGCTCGTGTTGGAGCGGAGCGTAAAAACGCCCTCTGGTGAGAGATTGTCAACATATATGATGATACACAAGTTCCGAGCGTAACGCAAGTGGAAACCAAGAGGAATTGGGCAGAAATTTGAGGCGAAAAATGCAAATGAGCTATGCCCGTAAAAATAAATGACGCCTGAAAAACAATTACGCATTAAAACTAAATGACGCCTGGAAACTAATTTGACGCCTTGATCAGAATTACGCCTGGAATTTCCTTATTATTAAAATTATAATACTTCGTGACCTAAAAGACTAATACGAGGGCTGTTCGGAAATTATTGAGACAATTACATTTACTCCATAAACGACGGAGATAATTTCAGGAAAATTCATCAACATTTTATAAAGAACGAACAAAACACTTATGCAAAATTTCTAATTCCTATGATAATAAGAAAAGTTTTTGTGAAATAATAAACATGCGTTCTATCGATCCGGAGCAGCATCACTACGTCATTTTAGCGTCACGTCAGCCAGGGATGGTTTTGCATGTAAAACGATCGGGAAGCGTTTGATCTTTTTCCTTCTTTGTTATTACATATAACAGTAAAAAATAAAACAGTCTCTTTTCTTAAACTATTCCTTAAAAATGTATACTGTTGCTACCCGAGTGTAATATTTTCATTTGTTGGAAAAGATGACTTAAAATCATGCAGTGTCGATTTATGCAACGAGGGTCAACGATATTGATACCGTAACGATATTAATACTGTACGTAATAACTGTGGTCGTCCGGAGCTTTTGATTTTACTCTGGTTGAATTAATTGTAAAAAAAAAATGTATACCAATGAAATAACAAACCCTAACACATTATTTTTTTCTCGTAGTATTTATTTTAGCAGGTCGTTGTGTCTGGAAAAGAGTTCTACATTGCGCTACACAAAATTTTAGGTATGTTCTCTGCTCCGCCCTTGACGTCAAAATCCATTTTTTCGTTCTTAGCAGATTTCTCTACCGCGCTTAATTTTTTTTATGATCTCCGTATTTCTGATCAAAATTCTATCAAAGTTGCAAGACAGGAATTTGAATTAAAGCTGAAAAATTATACACATAAACAGAATTATTTTCGCTCTTATTATGGGTCCACGAAGAGTTAGAACGTTGGTGTTACATATTTTCAATATCTGATTTCGAGACTGCTCCGGGTACCCCTACTGATGACGCATTTATATACCATTGTACAGAAAATATTTAATATTTGTAAAATATTTTTTGCTTTTATTAATTCTTAATGTATGTCAAACGTATATGCAAATTTGCACCGAAAGACGTTCATTAGAAAGCAAATATACACAATGTCTCAATAAATTTCGAACAGCCCTCGTATTAACCATGTAAACAAAGAAAATCATTTAGGTTATGATTTACAATGTTAAAACTAAAAATTTAGCTTTCTGAACTGAAAGAAAACATAATGACAGGTCATTATTATAGTATAGAAACATAATTTACAAAACTTGTTTCACTTTTTTGTGTAAGGGACACAAACACCATTATGATCCAGTGTGTAAGATAAAACAATTTTTTTTTACAATACTGGCACATTTGATCACTTCAATAATTATGACATTAAGACAAGTTACTAAAAACGGTTCTTCATTTACACAGTTCATTTACAGTTGGAGACTGCCTCTATCAGACTGTTGTTCTCAGAATGTGTGCAAGGAAACTCAAAATATTTAGAGTAATTTTAGGGTCAATAAGTTATAACTATCATTGTACATAATCATAATAAAATTTACTCAAAAAGGTACCAGATTTGAAATATCACACTTACAAGCAGATATTGTGTCATCCAGAAGAAGTTTAAAAGCCTTAACATTGATATATCTGCATTTCCTATGCCACCCACACTAACCCCCCTCCGTCATATGATCAAATTCAAACTTAACCTCCAGTATGAAATGACCCTTAACTGATAATTAAATTGACCGATCAGAAGCTTTTTCATCTCCTGGAAATTCTAGGCGTAATTTTTGTTTCTTTTTTCCCTGCCATTTTACGCCAGGAGAATCTGAGCTTAATTGCAAATTGACGCCCGGAAAATAGAAATGACGCCTGTAAGACGCCTCTTCTACTGAGGCGTTCCTACTCAATTCCACACCAATTCCAGTCGGAATCCGCCTTTAAAATTGATACAGTTAGACCATGTAGAAATACTAACCACTGCATGCATGAAAAGGAATTTGATATTTGTCACTCAGTTAAGTTGTTGTATATAGTCAATTAAACATAAAAATGAAACAAAATTGGTACTATGATAAGCATTAATTGCCTGTCAAATACCGGGTTTACATGTACATACAAAATATATTGTATTTCAAGTTTTTTTTTATAATTTCTAACCAAAAAGGATGAAAATGTGTACAGTTGGCAAAATGTGCAAAGATTACAAGATATAAAAATACTGAGAAGTTCCCATTCCCTTTATATACATGTGTAAATGCAAAAACATTAACATAACATTGGAAAATCTTCAGAAATACGAATTTACAAACATTATGATAGAATTTTACGATATTTGAAAATGAATGCACTTGGAAATTCATTCAAATCAGGAATGGTTTAAGTGTTTGATGTCTTCAGCTGTATATAAACACAATGACAATATGACATCGGTGAATGATTATGTAAATTATGTCTGATGACGTTCTATTACGTTGTATTATGACGTAGTTTCTTCACTATGCCGTCGGTTCGATGCTGGCTATATTTGTCATATCTGATGGCGCACTTGCTTGTGTTCTGAGGCGTCTATTGAGAGCAAACCGGACTATTCCAGAAATAACCAGCGCTAACCAGCCAAGGGTACAAATCCACGAGGCAGTCTGTGAAACGAGAGAATGAAATATATGGAGATAACGAACAATATTTAAGCTCAAAAGTCCATAAAGCAATACAGAATAGGAGCAGAGCAAACACGGACCTCCAAAACATCAGAGGTGGGAACAAGGGTCGTGAAGGAGAGAGCATCCCCTGCCAACCGATTACACCCGCCGTGTGCTCCTTGTCATGATCGGGAAATAACGGAAAAATCTGTCTTAAAATCAGTGTGTAAATAATGGTCTAGCAATTGGTTTGATAAACGTCAGTCAGCATTTGACTCAATGATACATTGTATTTGCTGACAAGGTCTTTGTATTGACAACTGATATTCTTGTTTTATTAGCTTGTTTGTCAATAATTTACACCGTTTTAGAAAATGTTAATAAGTAGAGCATGCTTACCTGTGTAACATTTATATAGGTGTAGAAATGTCCTGTAGAGCTAATCTTTTTTGTTGACTGGTTCACCAGTTTCTGCTTCTCTGCCTTTACACAACTTTAAGGAAATATAAACCAATATTATCTCTAAAAAATTTAAGATCGAAAAAAATACACATAATATTCATATATACATGTACTATTTGTATTAAAATGTTTTCTAAAAAGTAGTAAGTTATTGGCAAATATGTTGATGATACAAGAATATTAGCAGTTTAAAGTCATCATTTCCTAATTAAGTTGTATGGTAGAACACAATCTACCATTAAGTCAAATGCTCACTGATGTTTTTCATACTAATTGTGAGGTCATTTTTCCAAACCGAATTACCTTAGTTTTCCCCTTTAATTCCCGATCATGATAAGGAGCAAACGGCGTGTGTTACCGGTCGGCAGGGGATGCTCACTCCTCCATGGCACCTCTGATGTTTTTGAGATACCCTATTGTTTAATGGACTTTTGAGCTCAAATATAGTTCGTTATCTTTACAAAGGTCATAAATTATTGTATTAATCATCAAAAGATAAATTGTTCATAGTTATCATAACGCATGTTATATATATATTGTTTTTTTGTGTGAGCAGCATAGCATATTGAATATATTTAGATAGTACAACGTGCTTACCTGGAATAGTACTTATATTGTCCTCCTATTACAGTGTGCTTACCTGGAATAGTACTTATATTGTCCTCCTATTACAGTGTGCTTACCTGGAATAGTACTTATATTGTCCTCCCGTCAATGAGTCACAGATTCCTTTAAATCCAACACTAACCATACAGGAGGCGACAAACATAACAGCAGTCACCAGAGAGTTCAACATGATGAACGGCATAACCCACATCTGGGATCTGTAAATAGAATACAAACATAACAGCAGTCACCAGGGAGTTCAACATGATGAAGTGCATAACCCACATCTGGGATCTGTAAATAGAATACAAACATAACAGCAGTCACCAGGGAGTTCAACATGATGAAGGGCATAACCCACATCTGGGATCTGTAAACAGAATACAAACATAACAGCAGTCACCAGGGAGTTCAACATGATGAAGGGCATAACCCACATCTGGGATCTATAAACGGAATAAATGCATGTATACATGATAAATATAGGGCCATAAAACAATATGATGAACGGAACAAACCAGTCTGGGATCTGAAAACAGAATACATACATGTACATGATGTATATTGGGTCACAATACAACTTAATGAACGGCATAACCCACATCTGGGATCTGAAAACTGAATAATCATATACAGGTACATGATATATATAGGACCATAATACAGCGTGATGAAGAGCATAGCCCACATTTGGGATCTGAAAACAGAATTATATACATTTGCATGATATATATTGGGTCACAATACAACATGATGAACGGTATGACCTCCATCGGGGATCTGAAAACGGAATATATACGAGGGTTGATCCAAAAGTAATGTCACAGTGTCTATATCTTTTATATTTGGCGTCATATTATCAAATATTATATACCAAAAGATGCACAAATATAAATTTAATTAAACTTTAATTTTTCATTCAATAATGTTTAACTGAATTTATTTTATAGATGTTTAAAACATATAAGATAGGTGGTGTCGCCGCGTCAAAACCGAACGTCACAAATTAAAGTGTACTTTTTTTAGTATAAAAAAGACAAACACTTAAAAAGCATCTTTTAAAAGCGCCTAAACGCAAAATACTTTAAAGAAAAAAAATTACATCATTTCTAGTCTTAAATTGAAATCTATATGATATCACTGCTATTTTTTATGAAAAACATCGTTGATTTATTCCAGTGCATTGAAAAAAGGAAATGTCAAAATGGACAAAAAAGCCAAAACAAACTGTAATGCATTTTTGCTTCAAAATGGAGAAATCGCCAGTAGAGACAGTTACGTTGATTCACCAGACTTTCGGAGGTAAGAATGTAAATAAGAGACTTTTTTAGATGGTTTCAGCGACTTTCGGTGGGTGATGGGTTATTAAATGCTCAGCAGATGACAAGAAAACCGAAAGATGGGAGGGCGGACGGAAATGTTCAATGGTGTGTGACGTTGTCAAAAAGACTGACGGAGAGAGCGATATGTGAAATTTTAAGTTGGTCTTTTACTACTGTTCAAATGAATTTTGACAGAATTAATTATGAAAAGAGTGAGTGTACGATGGGAACTAAGGGTAAGAAAGTGAAATTTATGAACGAGTTCGTGGATATCAAATCTCAAATATTTTTTAATGAAACGAAGGGAAGTGTTAAAATGCAAGAAGGCGCGTATCCGTCATATGACGTTATTTAGCTGCGGCGACTACCATAATCGCACGTTGTATATAATCCGATATTTTGAAAAGTATAAATCATGTTGAATTGAAATTTTCAGGTCTGATTTGAAATAAATTTAGCTTTCATTATTTATAATTTTGTTGTTTTACGTCGACGGATAGCGATTTTATCGATGTTGTGACATTACTTTTGGATCAACCCTCGTACATAATAACAACCTTCACAGATCTAGAAAAAAAACCCATAACTTTGAAATCAAATGCATTCTGTAAATGGCTATTGGTATGCCTAAATTCGAAATAACTAAGAGATTAACCCGAGTACACTTACGATGGAATACAAGCAGCGTTCAGCAGTACTCAACCGTTTTAGTCCGGTGAATTTTCTCCAAAACGCAAATAAATGAGATCGGGGATTAATAATGAGGTTGAAGATTGTCTTTTCAATGCAACAGAAATAAAATTAAAAATATTTAAATTCTCAAGGACTCATATTCTATGTTATCTGTCTATAAACGAGAACAAAGTTAATTTGTTCGGGTTTGTTCTTCTTTATTTTAGATCGGGATTGAACTTGTAAAAATGGCGGCTTCACGATTTCGCTTATATTGAATTACGGATATTTAAGGTAATTACCCATACCACGTGAAATAACGCTATATGACGTTATTCTCGTCAGTGACGTTATTACGTCAAACGCGCCCGACGCTTATTCCATCAAAAATGCCTGACGTCGATTTCACTTACTGTTAGCTGCAATAATGTAGCCCTCTCCGATTTTTTTTTTTTTTTTTTTTTGGGAGAGGGCTACAACTCCTTAGGATCTCTATAATGGTGCAGATGCGGCAGTGGATCACTCCCGCACGGATTTCGGCTCAAATTATCAGTAAACGGCTATTTTATTATCATCTCTTACCTGGAATCCAAATATGTAATTATGCAAAACATAAATCGATCCAAAAATATTCACAACGATCCATATATCGGTTATTTTTCGTGTGTGTCAACAGCTTAACTTGAATTTATCCGCCATGTTTACTGACCTTGATGGATTGTATTTTGGGACAGCCAATGAGAATTTAGGTTCTATAGGAGCGGATCTACTAGGAATTCCCATATTTTAAGCATACGTTATCGCTGTTTGCGCAAAAATAACACTTGAAATGGTTTTATTTATCGATGTTTTTGTAATATATTATAGCACAATCGTTTATAAACATCGACATTTGCTTTATTTGGTTGTTCCAAATTTCAAGTGAAAGTCTCACTACGTCAAGCGTGAACTGTCATGGCTGCTGAATATTGCAGCTGGGAAAGACACAGATTTATTTTGCATGGTTTTCGAGTTTAACAGGCTATGTTGTTGACAGTGAATAAAAATTCCGTCTTATAAGAAGTAAGTTTAATGTAAAAATAATTTATTTTGCCTCCAATCACCCGTATCAAAAAAATATATTTGCACCATTACGGAGATGCGATGGAATTGTAGCCCTCTCCAGAAAATATCAGATAAAAAAAATCGGAGAGGGCTACATTATTGCAGCTAACTTACTGTGTAAAGAAAGGTACATTAATTTCCAAATAAAAGGCATAAAAAATACGATGTTCAGTTATTTCCGGGATGCATGATCGAAGGAGAGTTTAAATTTAGATGATTCGTCAAACCGAAAGTACAACAAAGATGGCATGGAGGGAGATTGTCTCGAGTACAAGATAACTAAAAGACTTCGACAATCGGGTCGTTTTTTGTCTCTGTAAGTTGAAGAAATACAGAGTAACAAATAAATGGTTCTCTTGTCGAAAGTCGTAATCGTTTGCTTATATGTTTGTACATACTAAGGCTTAGTACATAACCATTTTCGAAATTCAACCACGGCTCAAGTATTCAGGTACCTAACTGCTTTGCTTCAATATTCCGATTTTTAAATGTCGTTTTTCTCTTCTCGATTGTTTGAATTGAAATATCGTCCTCGAAAATCGTCCTTTGGGGATTGACTAAGGATTTGAAAACAAATTGTGGAAAACTTTTTTTTTTCAATGTATATATCATAGATAAAACAGTTACTGCACATATATAAATGTTCTGTTATAATTTGGTATATCCTTGCACTGAAACATTGAATAATTCTTGATAAAAAAAAACCCAGAATATTTCATTCAACATATTCAAGTAGAAAAGGACATTGATGCATGAAAAAATATATTTCCTGAAATAATACACACATATGCTGAAAATTTGGAAAAATATGTTTTAACCTTTAGCTACCATTTGTAGTGCTGTGGGTAGTGTATTGGTGCACCTGTCATTAGACAGGTGTCCTGGATTCGATTCTCTGTAAGTTAAAAAAATACAGAGTAACAAATAAACATGATAAATGGTTCTCTTGTCGAAAGTCATTATCGTTTGCTTATATGCTTGTACATAGTACATAACCATTTTCAAACCTTGTGGGCCTCTTGTTATAATATGTTTGCCAAAGCAATTTCCAAATTGATGATAAAATTACAAATGTGTCATCTACAGTATATACAATATGTATAATACATGAGAAAAACATACGCCGAACAGACTCAGGGGTCTATATCGGATGGGGAGGGGGTATTTCTGTCTTCAAGCACCCGTGAATATTTATAGTATACCGATAGATACAGTGTATCAGTAGCTAATAAGATAATGTGGATCCCTAGTCTACTATTCTAGATCATAATTTCATGTATAACTTTAGTCATGGTAATGGTGGTTAGACTTAAACCCACAAATCTCAATATTAAAGTAACAAAGAAGGGAAATATAAAATAGGAATGCCTATGAGATCAAAGTGTGTGATATAAAAAAGGAATAAGGAAAGGGATAAAATTTCAAACAGACAAATTCTACCCTGTATGTTAAGCCGAGTGCTTACAATGTTAGAATTATATAATTAGGTTGTTCGTGTATTGTTTAATAATGCATTAATCATTAAAAACAAAGAAAGATAAAAGAAAGCCATGGCAGATAATGTATTGGACCAGCATGCAAAATTCATATCAACCCTTTCTCCCCCAATGAATGAAGAGTCCTTCCCAAACTTATGAGTTAGGACTTTATGCTGTGTCATATGTAGCATGATAAAAAGCTGAAGAAAAAAAAAATAATTTTTTTTATTTTAGAATACAATTTGAAGAAGTATAATTGAACTCCAGCCTAAACTCCAGTACAAGTCAAATTGAACCATCTTGAATGTCTTGATTAAATGTTTTTATTTTAGGCACAGAGCAACAGAAAGATTTTTTTTAAACTAGACCATGTTCATAATGCATGTACCATTTCTCAGCTACTTTTAATGTACAATTACATACAAATTAAATACCGGTATTCGGTATTTATAATGTTCATCAATTATGCTCAGACAATTACAGGTTCGAGAATCTGAGTCAATACATCGAACAAATGCTCACTGGATACATATCAAAATATCACTTTAACATAGAAAATTCTATTTACTCAGGGAGTCATTGACTTTTAAAGCATCATACCAGTGACTTTTCATACCAATTTTGCATGGATCAGTTTTTCCAAGGAGGGGTCCAAGGTCATTTTAGTACAATTCACTGTTATCTTTGGACTTTCAGTAAGGCATGGTATTCTTAATGTTATATAATTAGCCCCTAAAATTTACACAGCTTTCATTCATTGTTGAAATATACGTGGCCGGGATATTCGGGCAAATGTCAAAGAGTGTAGCCAATTTCCAATAACAGGATTACATATAAGAAGTAAATGATTACCGGTAAGTTGTCTAATGATTGTCAACAACGATTAAAAGTACCTGATGTTATTAATTTTTTAACCAATGAAAATCTATTTGCCATTTGAAAGACACTAGTGCAGAGAATACTACGTCTTACTAAAAGTCCAAGGATGACAGAGAATTGTACTGCTTGGTTTAGTATGTACATACAATAACTCTGCAATGTCCATGGGAACACACACACTCACCACTAGATCCACCATGAAAATTTCAATCAAGAAGCATCCTATAGAGTTTATACTATGGAAACGAGAAAAAAATTATAAGTGCTGAAAAAAATTATTGTGTAAGAGTGATTTTGACAGGTCGGTCAGAGTACATAAAACAAATATTTTTTTATTGTTTGACTTCCTTTACTTAATCCTTTTAATTATGAACTCTTTCAGATATTAATTTATCCAACCTTATTCATTTTAAAGATACATAAATTACTCAAACATATCACCATTGAACGAGTTCATATTTTACCAATTGAATGACATAGTTTTAGTAATAATGTCATCAGCTATGGAGCTTGGTGTTAAGAATTTATTAAACGAATTTGAGTTATGTACGGAAAACCTCGATCATTCAGTGTCCCTAGCTTAAGAATGGGATCTCTGCCTTCCAACTTCCAAGGACACGATCTCCTATAAGCACGGTGTTTTAAAAAAACAAACATTACAAAGTGGAAACACTGAACATATCCATCTCCGCTTACATAGATTTTATCAATTTGTACATGGATAAAATCATGATAAACAACGTTGCACCTTACTTAGACAGACCGGAGCTTTTCCTGTGATCAGAAACCAGACGTTAAAAAGATGTGGCAAACAAACCACTTATTTGTATCTATGAATAGCGAAAAATGTATTACATAGACACAAAAAGTTGTAAAATGTGCCACTTCTCTCATTTTTTAATCAAATAAATCGCATCCAAACGACCAATGTTGAAACTGAAAGTGTTTTCTTCTTTCACTTCCGTCATAACGTCACACATGCGCATTACCGGTATATAGAATATTCCGAAGATTGAACCCGATTACTATAATGCTTGTGAATCGTGAAAACGAATTCTTGGCCGTCTCTGCAATAAATATTTAACTTATAATTTAAACCATACTTATTAATGTTCTATTAACGATAGTTTTAAATATTTAAAGCGACTTTTGCACCCAAATTATAAAAGTATAGATGTTAAAAAGATTTTTCAAATAATCATTTTTCAGCAAATTTGGTATAAAAATGTGAAATTTTCTTGTTTGATGCCCGCTGCCCCACTTAATTTTTATGCCATATAAGGGAGAGACTATTGAAAAATAACGTGTTAATTTCAAAAAGAAATCTGTAGTTAGAATATCAAACAGCAATTTATTTTTACTAGCAATGAACTTTATAATTTTGAGCTAAATATGTTTAATTCGCCCTAGAAAGTAATATTAGGTGGATCAGCAGATTAAAAAAATAATTAAACCGTTAAACAAACATATTTTCTCTATAATTCATATGTTAAAAAAATTCTTTTGCTTTTACATTTAGAAATCTAGCATAAATATCTTAATTACTGCATTTCCGTAATTTCACGAGACAATGTCTATTTTTAGTAACAATCCTTTCTAAAGGAGGCCCGGTTGACCCCAAAATTTACACTGATCTGGAAAGGACAAATACTCAGTTAAGATTCTGAAAAGTTTCAACAAAATCTGTAGTTCCGTTATTTCTATAGCATGGTATGGATCTTTACCTTAAGAAATAAATAACAAGTTTATAAACTTCAATGGGAATTGAAGTGGGTCGGTCACGTGATCAAATCCTGTGAAGGCCGAAGGCCTTCTCAGAAGATTTGATCACGTACCGACCCACTTCAATTCCCGTTGAAGTTTATAAACTTGTTATTTATTACTTATATATACATTTGAGACAGACAATTGAATATTTTCGAATTTAAATTATTGCACTAACCGTCCGTCGTAGTTTTTGAAAAATGACGCAAGGTGTAAATCGGTTTGCATGGCGGTTACGCTTCGAATTCATTAGGCTAAGGAATATTAATCTATTTCGAAGGGAATATTTTGTGAAAGGCTACATGTGATCAGTAATAGTGAACAGATTGTTGTCGGGGAATATTTTATTCGTGAAAAATGATAATCAATGCTGAAAAGACACAAGAAACACGTCCGAAGTTTGATGATAAAAAGTTGGAGGAATTTCGGTCGCTGGAAAGGGATGGATGGATCCGATGGACTGATACACTTGTCCGAGCCAGTTAGGGCCTAATTTGCAATTTGATCAAAAACATTCCACAGTTTCAGTAACTAAAGGCATACTTACCGTAAAACACTGATAAACACGGAGACACTGGCGACAGCTTTACATTGAACTACGAAAACGCCGAGGTGTTTGGCAGCTGTTCATGGCATGATTGCAAAGATATTTTCCAACAGATTTACACATTTATCGTGAGTAAAATTTAAAGATAAAATAAAAGTTTATCATGAAAATTTTACCAAAGGTCTATCAAAAAAATAAGGATGAACGTTAGAGACTGTGCAGTTGACAAAAGTGAAGAAAAATGTAAACAAACGCTATAATTATAGGCTCCTAGTTTTCTCTTTGTACACAGGTTGAATCTATAGCCCAAAAACTGTATGAAATACTTGTTTACATTTAAAATAAAATAATTATCATTTTACTTGCTTATTTTATTCATTTCATACATGAAAAGCAAGTAGAGCAGGTCATTTTTTTTTTTTTTATAATTTATGTACCGGTAGATATTATTGCGCGTGTGATTAGGTCACGTATTGACCTCTGACCTCTGACAAACTTCATACAGAATTGAAGATATTCTCTCTCTGTATGTTTATATAATGGAGAGATACCACAAATGTATATATATTGAAATAATTTGCATGGTCCCCTGAATTTCAATATATCCGGAGTAGGCTGTATATAGGGCCAAAATACAACATGATGAACGGAATAGCCCACATCTGGGATCTACAAATGGAGAGCAAAACAAACACCTCTAAACGCAAAAACGTAGATACGATACCATGAAGTAGTAAGTATCCCCAGTCAATCGATAACACCCAACGTGTGCCCCTTGTCATGATCGGGCAACGGAAAAAAATCTGTAAAAATAATGCCCTAACAATTCTTATGGAAAACGTCAGTCAACATTTGACCTGATAAAAGATTGTTTATTATGCTTACACGTTCATTGTATGAACTATAGAAATGGAAATGTTGACGTCAAAAGAGACTGTTAAAATCCTTGATTGTCAATAGCTTCCCTTATTTTAGATATTGTTAAGAACATTCTCTTTTGTATTGAATCAACTGAGATATATAAACAAACTTCATATACAGGTGATAAGGGTATATTACTGCATTTTTCATGTTTATACGTAAGGGAAGTTGACGATTGAAATTTAAAGTTGATGTCGTCAAATTTCTCATAAAGCGTCGTTGTTAGATAACCATTAATGAAAACATTTTTTCGAATAAAATTTCCAGTTATGAAACAGACGTGTCAGACTCTGTGGTATCTTTGATTTCAAGCACACTAATAAAATACATGTATATCTTTCATTTATAGTACATCGTCGATATTTCTGTGAAATCACTTACTCAGTATTATCTTTAAAATAAATTTTGGGGTTTAATTTCATTTTTACAGGTACCCCGGTAATAAGTACTCAGCAATTCTTCATGCTCGAAATTAAATCCGCATGAACCCATATTTTCTCCAACCATGAAAATTTGAAAGAACGAAAATATGTGATTTTACAGTATCAAAATGTCGAGTTGAAGGCCACAACAAGTTGATTCAATAGGTCTTCTGATTACGGGACACAAATGGAAATTCCAACAAACCTAGTCTCAGAAAACCACATGGAGATTGTCAGTCAGAAACTCAAGCAGAGTACTTGTGTGAACAATCAGAATGTTTTTTAGCAAAACAATTTTACAAACATCTGACTCACAAATGGAAACCTTAAGCTCTCTTTGGCGATGGTGGTACGAGCAACTTCATTATTCCTTTATAAAATGTTTATATTTAAAAAGTTTATGTTCATTTCTTTGCACATCTTTACATTAGAAAAGAAAACATTCGACGCATATGAATTTGTTACGAAGATAGACTCACGCTATGGACGGGTCCTTCTGGGATTTATATATAGCGTAGGTGTTGTAAACGCCCATCCCCAGGGCGTAGAAGATACAAACAAACACACCAACATAGATGGGGACGTCACAGTTGGATTTCTTGCTGTATAGCAGTGTATAGTACGTGGAGTTGTAAGGTTTGAGGGAGGCGTATAGCAGGCACCCTCCAGAATTCTCAATCTGTAAAAAATAAAATAAATAAAAGATAAACGGTTTGATGGAACCTTGATGAAAATATAATATAAATTAATATATAACAAAGAGTTTTTCAATCATTCTAAAGAATATATGTAATAGGGACTATGCTGCGTTTCTGTGTCTCTTATTTGGCGGTTCTAGATCTCGTTTGATATTAACTGAACATATTTGTTTTGTGTTTGTTTGTTCTGTAGTTTTCTTTTTAATGCATTATTTTTTTGTGTTTTATTTCCATATAAGAAATGAATTGATATAAAAATTATACACTAGTCAGTATAATCTGGATGTTGCAGTTATATTTTGTAAACCGCGAAGAGTGACCGTACGATAGAAAGTAATTTCCGCGTTATAACCGGAAATAAGTTATAATCGTGTTTTTCAAAGATAGATTAAGGAATTCTCTTTACATATTGAAGAACAAAAAAAAAATGAAAATAGCACACAGAAGTACTGAACAATACGGAAAAAATGTGAACGGAAGAAAAAGAATACAAAAAAGGCCAGATACTAAAGGGCTAATCTTTAGATCTGAAATTGGTGTGGAGCTGGAAGACATTCTGGAACGAGGAAGGATGGATATCAGAGAGAAAAATGAAAAATAAGGACATAAAATGTTGTTTTCAAGTCAATGCACCCTCTGGCCTATGCACAGACACCTGACGCTACATAATTTTCTTCGTCAGCGTGGCACTGTGGTTAGAGCGTCTGCACTTAAATTGCGGAGTGGGGAGTTGATCCTACCGTCGCAGGTTCGAATCCCATTGTGGGACGAGGAGTCATTCGGATGAAACCGTAAAACTGATATTCCGTATCGCAGTAGATCCATCGTTGCTCAAAAGCCCCGAGTGTCTACTTTAGGACAAGCTCTCCATCGGCAAATGGTGGAGTCTCCATATGAGTGAACGAATATCGAGAGGGACGTTAAACAACAAACAAACAAATATATTTTAAAATAATCAAACTTTTGAACAATTTGAAATCTTAAGATCAACCGCTAAAGAGCTTACGACTTTTCAACTTTATGCACAACCACTTCCCTTGATGAATTAAAGTCCAGGCTTTTTGATATCATTGACAGCTGCTTTTTCGATACAAATGGAACTCATCAATTTATATACCTTGTTATTGGTCATTTGCAAAATAATTTTGTTAATAAACATTCTGATTGCACACTCAAGTCCTCTGAAGTTGACATCAAACAGATGCTTGAGATTTTGATTGACAATATCTATGTGGGTTTTGGAGACCAGGTATTCCAACTATCTGTTGGAATTCCCATGGGTTCCCGATGATGACAACTAGCACAAGGCAGGTGTGACCGGTCAGCAGGGGATGCTTCCTTCTGCATGGCACCTGATCCCATCTCTGATGTTTCGGAGTTCTGTGTTTGGTCTGCTGCTATATATTTTTGTTTTGTTTTTTGGACTTTCGATCTTAAATACTGTTTGTTATCCCCATGTGTTCCATTAACATTAACGAAAAAAGTATACGCGTGACTTAATGAAAAGTGCTTAATAAATTAATCATATTATACTAACAAGCAAACACTTATTTTCAATCTTTTCATACATGTATTGATATTTTCTGTTGTTTTTCTCTTTTATAGTTTGATTTTGTAAAAGGTATAATTATTATTTATGCATCATGTTTTTCTTTTCATTTCTTGCACCCTAAAATTTACACACATAAATGTTATGTATTTAATCTTATAATGTATGTATTAATATATGTATTTGTTATATACAAACAGAGCAACGTATTTATTTTCATATGAACTACATATAAGGATTCATTTGTCAGTATAAAAATTGAATGCAAAAAAAACTCCTAAAACAACAACAGATTTATACAGTCTTGCTTAATTTTTATAACCATGTAAAATTCATTAAGATGATTGTTACAGCCTGTTGATTGAACAAGTATCTCAGTTTCAAATGTCAAGTATGTGTGCTTGCATAAATTGCGTTTTTTTTTATCAGTTGAACGTTATTTAAAGTTTTTCTCAAATTCATATGCCTACATATAATTATGTACACTTTACTTATCTAAATTGTTTACTCACGCCTGTTACCCCCAGTGGTATTGATATTGCAAATCCACAAACAAAAATAAAGAAATAAAGTAGTGTGTTTACAAACAACTGAACGTCAAACACAGCCATAGCCCTCTAATCACAAAATACTCATAACTCATGCATATAAGGGGGCGTATCCATGTGGAATATACAAGATTACGCAATGTCGAGCCCGACGATATTTAAAGCGAATAACTTTCATTATCAATAACTTTCAGATAGATAAATCAGAAACCTGAATTGATTACTTAAATGTTCATCACAAGAGTTTGTTCTACACAGGGATTTAACTAATCATAAATATAAATCTAGGGTTATATATTGTGTAAGTAATGGTTATAAGACGAAAACTGTCCATTATGTCAGATATTAGACGACCCGAGGCGCGTTAGCGCCGAGGAGAGTCTAATATCTGACATAATGGTCAGTTTGAGGCTTATAACTTACTTAAAACATTTCACCATTGTCGAACACTTCTATTGTTAACTTATTGGACAGCCACAGGTAAGGTCTCGTTCTGCTTGGATGAGTACCTGGCACTGTTCATCAAGTTAGGCCAAAGAAAACCAGTTTTGGTTTTTCTTCTGATTTTATTAATAGTAGGAATCATCGAGAGGTGTTTTATATCGATAAATATGAACATTAACTTTGTTTAGTCTTATTTGTCCGCATTGCGACATTTTTTATTTATACTCCGCATGCGTAAAAGTCAGGTCTACTAAATTCTTGACAATTTATTCATTTTACAACGCAACGACCACGGATGACGACGTGCGTTTTGATTTTGAAAAAATACCTTCAGAATCGGGTGTTTTGACGATGCCATTTATCGATTATACACCAAGATGCCTCAGTTCAAGTTTTTACTATGAAATCCGGATGCATATTCTTATGTTTCGGAGTTCCCCGTTAACAGGTAATTTTTGTAAAGCAATAGGATTTTACTCCTACAACTGTTTAAGCATTTTCTTTGAAATTGAGAGATTATTTCTGATGTATTTTTTTTTAAAATGCAACACTTTCTCTTTTGTGTGCAGGTTTCGAAGTCGGAAGGATTTTACCCCTTAAAACAACGATAGACACTCGCTCAAACGACGCAGGACTAGGTGGACAAATGGTAATAAATCACTGAACGAAATTACAGATTCTGTTGGAATTTCGTGAGCGAAATTTTGTGCTAAATGCGGAAAAATTGATATTTCAATAAACAAAAAGCCCAAGGTTGTGTGTAAGAAAACGCATTCTTCTCATTCATTCTTTGTGTCCATTGGATTCTATATTATGTTCCGTGAATCAAGCATTGGGAAATGTATCTATTATATAGCAATGAACGGTGAATTCAGGAAATTTATGATCGGAGACACGGATGCGTCTACAATAATGAATCTGAGACATTCAATTCACTGGATTTTTTGTGCCATTTTCAATAGGATTTTTTGTGAAATATTAACATTTAACGCTACTAATTTCATACATTGTTCATATTAAATTGTATGATTTGTCATTGCCTTTTAAGTGCTGTTTACTTATTTGCCTCGCTCTTTGTTCTCATTTTAACGTTACCTGTACCTGTCCAATAAGTTGAAACTTACTGGACACCTACAGGTAACTTATTGGACGGGGTGCAGGACAATAACAAATTTATTGAACCAGGTTTAACAAAAGATGACGTCACAAAAATGTTTTAAGTTCAGATTTAGTGCGATCTTCGTTAGATACCTTGGATGTTTAATCTGTTTAATAATATACGGCTATGTAAACAATGTATTTATAACCACAGTGATAAAATATACAAATGACGCAAAATGTTAAAAATAAATACATTTGTAAATATAAAATGTATATTTGAATGTAAATTCATACATGTTCAATGATTATAAGCATCATTCAAAAAAGAAAGGATACCAGTTTGCAAACTATCATGTTTATCTTCATATATACATGTACAAGATAAAGATAATAACAAACAGCGATCGATCTCAAAACATTTTTTAAAAAAATACACAAAAATGAAAAGGACACAAGCACTCCACCCTAAAAATTCCAGAGGTAGGATCACGTATCACATGTATCAATGGAAACTAAAAAAAAAACCCTGCTGATCGTCCACGCCCGCCGTAAGCCCTATGGATTGCTCAAGGATACATGTACATTGCGTCTACCAGTCAAATTCAATATAACAACAAATGCAAAATATTTATTATGAAATATCAGTCAGCCGATTTAAGACCCAAAGTTATACATGTTATAGGTTATATTTACATACAAGGTCATTATCACGACCATAGAATTTAACAAATACCGACTTTAAACGAGGTTGTTGAAATGTTCTCAGTGAGTAACACGCCCCTTGCTTTCGTAACTGATCCTTCTCATAGTAAGCTCTTAAATAGAATTCCACTTAACAATAATCAATATTCATTTTAAAATTTATCTGACAGAATGTGATATGAACATTATGCACAAATTTTCATAATGCAGACATCACATATGTAATGGTCCCAAAGTAAGGAATACACAATGTACAATGTTTAACTTTTTGACATTGAAGGATATGGTAACAGAAAATACACGGAAATAAAAATAATGTATATTCATATAATTACTATTTACACATTTGCGCTGAAAAGGAATTTCCTGATGGGAACTCAGTGTATAGATTTTTATGAACTACAGAATTTTCCATTTACTTGATCAATACAAAGGGCTCACGGCGGGCTTGAAGGGACAGCAGGGGATGCTTACTCCTCCTTGGCAACTTATCCGACCTCAGGAATTTCTTGAGGCCCTTGTTTATGACCTATTTATCTGTTTTATTGTAGATTTTTGTTAGATAAATTGTATTGCTGAAAATAGCATTACTCAAGGATAAATCCTAGGTAATTACTTCGTAAAATTAAAAAAAAAAAGAAAACTTTAAAAATAATTGAGGGGAAAAATACACTTTGTAAAGCCAATTTGGAACAGTAATATAATTTTACAGAAATCACATGATGAAGAGTAATCTATCCAAGGGTCAATTAACCGATACAAAATGTGAGCAGAGCGAACACAGAACACTGAAACTGGTTGCATTAGGTGCCATTGAGCAGTTAGCCTCCCTGTCCACCGGCCAAACCCGCAGTGTGCTTTTTTAATGAACTGAAATTTTGATAAGCTATATAGTTTGATTTAGCTATATAACTTTATTATTGAGAATACATGTAGCTTGATTAGGGTATTACAAATTAACATATACCTATAATAATTAACAAATCATCATTCATTGCTAAATAACAAACTTTAGATGCAACAGACATGACAGAGGTATATATTATGTGTTAATTAAGCCCAACTGTATATACCTCAGAGGGTGGTTAGAAAGAGTGTTATGAGGAACTTTTAGGCTTTAAGTCTTGTATTGACAAATCAGCAGTATAAGGTACTAAAAGTAATTCAGAAACTACACTTTGAAGTTATACAGGGATAGCATTGACAACTGAAGCATTTAACACTCATACTTTATGTAGTATAATATATATATATGTAATTTTTTTTACAAAAATTTGTCATATGGAAATTTTTTCCTCTTTATAGAAATTAACAGCAGTAAAATGTTTGTTGTAAAAAAAAAAAACTTTTTAAATGTTTTTTTGTTTCAAAAAGATGTACAAATTTATTTGAGGAAATGAATTTTTTAAAAAGTCTATAAACATAACTGGATTTTGGAAGTGGTGATAACCAATATGAAAACATTAATTCTCTCAAGTTGACTTTGAACGGGAGAATACTTTTCAACACTCAACAAACCAGTTCCCGAGATTCATTGAAGTCAAGGATTTTTGATATCATTGACAGTTGTTTTTTTTTTCAATAAAAATCGGACTCGTAAATATACTTTAGACCTAATCATAGGTCAATTGCAAAACTTTTTTGTTTAAAAACATTCTGATTGCATATCTATACAAAAGTACTCTGAGGTTGATATAAAGGATGCTTGAGTTTCTGATTGACAATAGCCAATGGTGACTCATTAGGCCTAACAGCAAAGCTTTATGACGACACTAAAATGTGATAACTACAATTTTTCAACCTTTAGGTTACATATATACATTGAAGCAATATCACCTGCATATGTGGTTTATATTAGTGTTGTCAAATCGGACGATTTTTTGCAACCGGTTACTCGCTTATATATTCTTCTGATCGAGTTACTCGGATGATTTTTCATATGAATCAGAATTTGTGTAAAATCTTATGTGTGAAAAGAACAAAAACTTTGCTCTGGCCTTCAACTCGACATTTAGATATATCGACGACGTGTTGTCAATTAACAATGGTCATTTCCTAAATTCTTATGTCGATACGATATATCCTGGTGAGCTTGAGATAAAAGATACCACAACGTCTGACACATCTGTTTCATACTTGGATATTTTAGTTGAAAAAGACGTTAATGGAAATCTAACAACCAAGCTATATGATAAACGTGATGACTTTAACTTTTTTATCGTCAACTTTCCTTACTTAAACAGCAATATACCGTCATCTCCTGCATACGGAGTATATATATCTCAGTTGATTCGATACGCAAGAGCATGCTCTAAGTATGAACAATTTCTTAAAGAGGTAAATTATTGACAAGCAAGTTGATGAAACAAGAATATCAGCAGTCTCGTTTAAAGTCATCATTTCGTAAGTTCTATGGTCGAAACAATGACCTAGTCAGCAAATACAATTTATCATTGAGTCAAATGCTGACTGACGATTTTCATACTAATTGTTAGTCCATTATTTATACACTGAATTGACGACGGATTTTTTCGTTATTTCCTTAGCATGACAAGGAGCACAAGGTGGGTGTGACCGGTCAGCAGGGGAAGCTCACTCCTCCATGGCACCTGATCCCACCTCTGATGTTTCGGAGGTCCGTGTTTGCTCTGCTCCTATTTTGTATTGTTTTATGGACTTTGAGATTGAATACTGTTCTTATCTCTATATCCTTCTTTTCTTAATAAGTTTTCATATCTATTATTTATCTAATTTTTTACTCATCAGTATTAATAAAAACACATACATGTATATACTGCATATGAACCTTTTTTACAATATTCACACTGCATTGATTATCTTCAAAGAATTTTGATTGTAG